GTAGGATTTAATTTCAAACCATTTTCACTCATACATTAACTTCACAAAAACGTACAAAGAAACATTTTAAATAAAAAGGTGCCTCATAATCTACTGAACTTTGAGTAATAATCTCCCATTTGGCAAATGATCTGACGAATAATCTAGCGTCTACTGCACTTAAAAACATCACATCTCAACGTGTTATGGTTTGTTCCTTTTCTGCATGGCTTTTTAGTTTAGTTTTATTTACTCCCAAAAGTTTTTTTTTTTTTTTCCAATTTTGTCAATTCAGATTCGCCGGCCCCTCCCCCAAAACGGCCATTGTCTTTGCCAGATCCGCCAAACATGGACTCCAATGGGTGCGCCGGCGGCGTCTGTAAAGCGGACACTAGGTCCGCGAGAGATGGCCTGCAGGAGTTGTGTTCTGTCCGTCTGAAAACACACCGTGAGCGGCGCCGACAGGGTCAAACAGTGTGGACGGCCCACTCCCAGATACAGGTGTCCAACATGGCCAACTCGCGAGCAGCGTGACACTGAGATTAGTCAAAGAAACATGGAGAACGCAGATCTAGAGGATCCACAGAGGAACGAGCTTCTCTAAAGGGTTGTTAGCGGCCGTCACTAGCAGCGCCGTAGACTACAGTTTAGAGGAGCGCGCGCTCGCAACGGGGAAAACACGAAGCTGACTTCACAACATCAGCTCATATCAATATCGCAACGAAAAGAAATAACCTTACTTAGTGTATGGTTATCTGAATCTTTCCATCTCTTTAAACAAAAAAAAATCGCATTCAGCAAGACGGTTGCCGTGGAAATGAACATCCTGCTCGTTAAAGCGAATGTGTAATCCTGTATCAGAGGCAAAATTACTAATTATGCAGCGCGAGTTATACATTTCTAACTCCAAACAATCAGCCACTGAACCAGCTGATAAAATCCTCTTCAAAGCTGTGCTGCTGCATCTGAGGTTCAGGTCATGGGGTTTCTCAGATTTCACTTGAGACCGGTACGCATTCGCCTCAATAGTAGTCGTGTCTCCTTCATTGTGTATTTTTATATTTTGAATATATCCCTCCGCATACTGTAACGATCCTCGATCTGGAGGATATCGCGGAGGTATTGCTCCAAAAAAGGTCACTGACGCGCACGGGAACACCTCATCCCGTCAGGCCGATCTGTGGTTGTGTTTGACCATTTGTGTGACGAGCGTAGTAACAATAACTAGGGGGCGTGGCTTTTGCAAATGGTCAATTGATTTGGACAAACACGTAAACTCTTTCCCTGCCACTGACAGAATTTTCCATCTATCCATGTTTCCACAGTTATACGGTAGGGGGCGCCGTTACACATCTATGAAAGAGTACAGAATCTCCTGATCAAAACACAGGAGAAGCAACAGAAACAAGTGATATCATATTACACTGAACAAAATTATAAACGCAACACTTTGGTTTTTGCCCCCATGTTTCATGAGCTGAACTCAAAAATCTCCGTTTTTTGTCCACAAAAGGCCTATTTCTCTCAAATATTGTTCTGAAATCTGTCTAAATCTGTGTTAGTGAGCACTTCTCCTTTGCCAAGATCATCCGTCCTCCTCACAGGTGTGGCGTATCGAGATGCGGACACACGGCAGGATTATTGCACAGGTGTGCCTTAGGCTGGCTAAAAGGCCACTCTAACATGTGCAGTTTTACTGTTTGGGGCGGGGGGGTCCGAAACCCAGTCAGTATCAGCTGTGACCACCATTTGCCTCACGCAGATCAACACATCTCCTTTACAGTTGATCAGGTTGATCGTGGCCTGTGTGATGTTGGTCCGCTCCTCTTCAATGGCTGTGCGAAGTTATGCTGGATATTGGCCGGACCTGGAACACGCTGTCGTACTGCGAACTAACAGGGTACTTAAAGAGTACACTTCTCTGATTATTAAATAAGTAAAACAAAGCTGTAAAAGTAACGGTTAAAAAGTTATTTTAAGAAGTTTTCGTTTATGAAAATTTTAATGTATAAAAAACATATTGTTGTATTTTATATCTATTTACAAAACATTTTCAACTCTAAAACTTCAAGGAAGCGCATACCAAACTTTTGACTCCACCGATGACTCTTCGAGTTCCACATGTTTTTAGTGATCTGAACCTTGCATTTCCATATTATTCCAAAGTACACATCCTATTCAGAAAGTTAGGCAGTAATGTTAATATTTTATTTCAATCTCTAAAACACATAAAAATTTCAGAAAGAATCAAAGTGTGTGTTATATTTTGCCTCCACGTCACCAATGAAGACTGCCAGATAGACAAATGTTATTTCTGTTGCTCTGTCAACTAATGCAAACAAGACAAAATAGTGCAGTCACAAAATAAAACAACTAAATTGTGTTGTAGGCTACGACAAAACGACATCCCTTATGTACAGTTTATAAATACTTCTGTGCGTGCATTTGACATATCAACCTCAAATTTGGAACTTATTATTCAACTTATTATTCTTATTATGCAACTTAATATTCTTATTAACTTATTTAGATTTATAGCATTTTCTTGCACTTTTTGAGTTCAACGGGTTGCATAAAATAAATGATTTATATACAATAGTGCTCATAAATAATTCTCATAAACTTAAACCTATATAGCTTTTTTTTTTGGTTCACTTTTTAAATAATCTGCCAATTGTCATCTTTAAAATGAGACAAAACTTAGAGTAACACTAAACCAACTTTTAGTTAATGATCTGTAAGAATGGATCTTTATTAATACCAGTCATTGTCATTGATTCAAGTAACTTTTTTGACATTTGTGTATAAAATGTTTTATTTCTACAATATATGGTGTAAAAGCGTCATAGTGCTGCCCTCTTCAGGTTGAACGGTGGCTACTGCAGTTGAATTTTCCTATTGGATGTTGCACACTTCGTGACGTACGCAGGTTTCATCTCACCACGCGAGCTACGCCCTTGGCAGTATAACAACCAGCTTGTGTCGTTAAACCACTGTAGCGAGTCACTCAGGAGTTGGAATTGTGAGTATTGGAAACGATCATGAGTGTTTTAGCATCTATTTCGTCCCCTCTATCTCCTCTGGGGTCAGTATTTCCTAATATTGCCAGTGGGTGGAGTCCGGCTCTGACCAGGGGTTTAGTTACCCCTTAAGTCTGCACTCCCATGCTTCAATGTTTTTATGACAGTGTCTTTGAGTACCCCAAACAAAGTAGCTTGTAGGTGGTGTGGCCTAAATAACTGCAATTAGACTACCGTACATCAGTTATTGCCACTACACACACACACACACACACACACATATACACTCACCTAAAGGATTATTAGGAACACACACTAATACTGTGTTTGCCTTCAGAACTGCCTTAATTCTCTGTGGCATTGATTCAACAAGGTGCTGAAAGGATTCTTCAGAAATGTTGGCCCATATTGATCGGATAGCATCTTGCAGTTGATGGAGAATTGTGGGATGAAGCTCCCGTTCCACCACATCCCAAAGATGCTCTATTGGGTTGAGATCTGGTGACTGTGGCGGCCATTTTAGTACAGTCAACTCATTGACATGTTCAATAAACCAGTTTGAAATGATTCCAGCTTTATGGCATGGTGCATTATCCTGCTGGAAGTAGCCATCAGAGGATGGGCACATGCTGGCCATAAAGGGATGGACATGGTCAGAAACAATGCTCAGGTAGGCCGTGGCATTTAAACGATGCCCAATTGGCACTAAGGGGCCTAAAGTGTGCCAAGAAAACATCCCCCACATCCATTACACCACCACCACCAGCAGCCCAACAGTGGGAACAAGGCATGATGATCCATGTTCTCGTTCTGTCTACGTCAAATCATCTGAACGTCTCAACAGAAATCGAGACTCATCAGACCAGGCAACATTTCTCCAGTCTTCAACTGTCCAGTTTTGATGAGCTCTTGCAAATCGTCGCCTCTTTCTCCTATCTGTATTGGAGATGAGTGGTACCCGGTGGGGTCTTCTGCTGTTGTAGTCCATCCGCCTCAAGGTTGTGTGTGTTGTGGCTTCTTCACAAATGCTTTGCTGCATACCTCGGTTGTAACGAGTGGTTATTTCGGTCAAAGTTGCTCTTCTATCAGCTTGATTCAGTCGGCCCATTCACCTCTGACCTCTCGCATCAACAAGGCATTTTCTCCCACAGGACTGACCCATACTGGACGTGTTTCCCTTTTCACTCCATTCTTTGTAAACCCTAGAAATGGTTGTGTGTGAAAATCCCAGTAACTGAGCAGATTGTGAAATACTCAGACACCAACAACCATGCCACGCTCAAAACTGCTTAAATCCCGTTTCTTTCCCATTCTGACATTCAGTTTGGAGTTCAGGAGATTGTCTTGACCAGGACCACACCCCTAAATGCATTGAACTGCCATGTGATTGGTTGATTAGATAATTGCATTAATGAGAAGTTGAACAGATGTTCCTGTAATCCTTTAGCTGAGTGTATGTTTGCAATATGTAATTGTTTATTAGAGCTAATGTGTATCTTGTTGTATTTGTGTGTATGCACTGGAAGCTTCAGTACCAACAAATGTTCACTTGGCAAGAAAGTGCTTTCTGATTCTGATCTGTGTGGTGCAAAGAAAAACTGCTGCGACTCGAAAGTTTTCACTGTAAATACAGTATATATCGCTAATTGCACTTAGTGCTATTAGAATATGGCAAAATAATAATAATAATAAAATAGCCAAACAATTGATTTCGAGTAAAGCGTTATTTTATCATTGGCATGTTTGTTTTCTGGACGTGGATTTAGACTAAATCACATTCAGAAAGAATAACTTCAAATATAATATTTTCCCCAGTTGTGAGATGATAATGAATATTTTAGAGCAGTATTCTCTATAATGGAGAATGGCGCGCGCTCGTGATGAAGAATGCGAGAAGATCCCAGTGAAACACACACGCCTGTCATTGACAGCTCGTGTTCCAGTGTGTGTGTGTGTGTGTGTGTGTGTGTGTGTGTGTGTGTGTGATGGACAGATTCACAGCATCAGCCCTCCTCCAGCACTTCTCACCGTAAAGCGAAAGTGAAACCGCAGAGGATTTAAACGCAGTGCTTTTGTTCTCGTCCATCACGACCTCGGACAAACGCCTTCATCTGGGAATATTTCGACATAACCGAGTCTCCGGTAAGCGTGTGTTTCTAACCTGTCAGATTAACAACAACAGAGGATGATAGTTCTTTATGGCCGCAGTTGTGTTTACATTACAAACTAATACCTCGCATCAAAACCTCTGCTTTTTTAAATGTCATGGTTTATAAATGTCTTCTTTTGCACTGCGTTTGCTGGGATGAGAATTGATGAGTGTAGAATTGATAATTTCATGTTTTATGCCGATCAGATCAGTGTGTTGGCGATTGTGAAAGAGAAAGTGATTCGGCCAAACAAAACAACTTTGCGACACCGTTTTTTCTCTTGTATTTGAGGATCGGCGCAGATCGGCACAGATGTGGACCGTCACGTTAGTCGTTGTTTGCGTTGTAACAACTTTAGCGTTACAGTTCTGGAACAGTTTACAGTAGATGACAGGCGTGTAACGGTCGCGATGACGTCACTGGTGCAGTTCCCGATGCCACCGCTAGGGTTTTCTCATCCGCTCTGGGATCATGTTTACTGTGTATTATATTCGGTCTTTTTTTGTTTTGTTTTTTAAATATATGGGTCTTTTTGTGCTATTTTCTTTGTAAGCAGCAAAGATGCAAATGCGTTGTCAATCTCTATAAGCACATTTGAAGTGACTCGCTGTGTGTGTGTGTGTGTGTGTGTGTGTGTGTGTGTGTGTGTGTGTGTGTGTGTGTGTGTGTGTGTGTGTCCAGAAGGGGGCAGTCTGAGCTCAAACATCTACAAGTAACTGGAGAACAGCTGCTAAACTAGTAAACAGAGAGTGAGTGGGCGGGTTTTCTATTGCAAACCTGTTCTTTACAACTGTAATACAGTAATGTGGAAATATTTGATCTATTCTATAGAAAATAATTGTAGAATTAGTTTGAATGCTATAAAAGCCAGATGTGTTTTTGTGACTGTAAATAAAGCTGAAGATGAGCAGTTGCCCAGTCAGGGATCTGCCAGTGAACACCAGGCCAGTGTTGAGGATTACTGGAGGCGGTCGTCTGTGGAGAATTACACATTTAGCTATGAAAGAGGGAGGATGGAGAGCTGGAGGATGGAGAGCTGGAGGATAGAGAGCTGGAGGTTGGAAAACTGAGGGGTGAATGGTCAGACGTTATGTTGTCACTTGGTTATTGTGAAGTAAATGAGAGATAAGGACAGGTAATAATTGTGTCCTGGCCAAAGACAGATGCAGGAGTTCTGCGGATTCTCGCTTCGTTGCTCTGCTCAATAAAGTCTTCTGGAACTCTGACCTTTGACCTCCATTTGCCAGACAGAGAAGGCATTTCTCCACAACAGTAACAGCACACACACACACACACACACACACACACACACACAGGCTGTACGGGATCTGGAATGACACACTCTGTGTGTGTGTGTGTGTGTGTGTTCATACCAGTCGTCTTATCTCAGCACGACTGATGATGATAGGAACTAGCTGTTGTTTGTTTCAATCTTGTGTGTGATTTTGATCAGAATGATACCTGTATTACAAAGCCTTTACAAAGCATGACCTTTACGGCCAGAAGCCGCACACACACACACACACACACACACTGACACACACACTCCAGACACATGCACACACACACACACACACACACACACGCACACGCAGACATGACTGTCCCGCAGCTCACTACACACACACACACACACACACACACACACACACACACACACACAAGTCAAGTCAAGTACATTTATATAGCATTTCCACAATAGGCTATATATTGCATCAAAGCAGCTTCACCGAATCAATCAAAACATAAAATATTTGTTTCTTGGAAAACATCCACAAACTCACACACACACGCACACACGCACACACAGAGATTATGTTGTGTAATAAAGAGGTTGATGGGATGAAAGAGCATTGAGTTGCTCAAACTCTGGTATGATGTTTGTCAAAGCACTCGAAACTTCCGCATACACACTTCCACATGTGTGTGTGTGTGTGTGTGTGTGTGTGTGTGTGTGTGCAGAATGCATGTGATGTGGAATCCACAGTCCGAAGCTTCCTCTTGGAAACCAGTGTTATTTCCCAGCTCAGATGTGTGTGAGCTTCGTACAGCAGTGACACACTTCTACAGCAACACACGTTGGTCTCGGAGTCGTTATTGATTTATGATAGACAGGGTTATGATGGTTATGTCATCAGGTAATCGAGGTGAATTCCAGCGAACTCCGGGATTTCCGGTAAATGCCCGTGTTTCCGCTCACTGGCGCCGCCGGCTGGTCACGCGCAGGATCGCAGCGTCACTGGTGAGATAAAGTCACGTGCTTTACAAGAAGCCGGGCTGGATCCTGCTGGCGCTTGCGCTGTCCCGAGGCGCGTGCACCGAGGAAGCGATGATCATCAGTCTCTCTCCGCGCTCGCCCGCGCCTGTGTTCACGAGGAAACACTGCCATAATCAATGCATCTGTTTAACAAGATGAGGTTTACTCTAATATTAGTGCTGTCAGTTGCTTATCAGCGGATATATATATATATATATATATATATATATATATATATATATATATATATATATAATTAAATACAGATTAACAAAACAAAAGAAAAACATTAAAATATATAGCCTATATTTATTTTTTTCTCCGTGCGTTAACTGAAGTGCTGCAGGTGTGAACATATCCCACCTTTGTATTTTACTTTGATTGCACAACTGTAATATTGAGGAAAAGTTCGCTTGAAAAATAAAAATTATGTTATTATTTAATGAAGTTGTTCCAAACCTGTATATCTTCTGCAGAACACAGAGGAAGATTTTGTTTTCCAGTTAGGAAGGAAGTCACTGGGTTCATCAACTGTGTTTACACATCCGTCAGATCATCTTCTTCTGTGTTCAGCACAAGAGAGACAAACTCATACGGGTTTGGAAGCACTCGAGAGTGAGGAATTAATAACAGAAGTTTAATTTTTTAAGTAAACATTTTCTCTAAGTGAACATAAACACTGATTAATCTGACTTTAAAACATATCCAGAGTTCAGCTTTCAGCTTATAAACACAGGCCTAGTGTCTCCCTTAGCTTCAGTCAAAACACACATTCGGTTTAGCTGGAGCAAAAGTCTTGAAAAATTCAAACATTTAGATCTTAAACATAGGCTACTGTGTCTTTTTGCTAAATATGTTGTTACCGCTGAACAGAAATCAGCAGAACAGTTATACGAGGAACTTGCTTTAACAAAAATAGCAGCAAAACAACTGTACTGAATATATATTTCAAACATTGTTAAAGACAAGTTAACAGTCGGTAATAAAATAAGAATACATAAGAAATAAATACAATACAAAAATACAACTAAATACAACTGTTCAAATTTAAGAAATCTAAAATTGGCCTAATCAAATTCAAAATAACACAGCATAGTTTTCCTTAAATAAATACACATAGGCTAGATCAGGGTTCCTCATTCGTTTAAACTCTGCTCAACATGCTGGGTTAAAAACAACCCTTTCCTTTAACCCAACACTGGGTAATACTGGACACAACACATGCTGGGATATGTTTACTGAGCTTGTTGGGTTTTATACATTAACTCGTTTGCTGGGTTGTTTTTTTGACTGTGCTGGGTCAGTCAATTTGATTTTGAAGATTTTTCATTTTAAAGGGCACCTATTATGCCCCTTTTTACAAGATTTTTACATTTGTGAAGTTTCAGCTCAAAGTACCCCACAGTTAATTTATTATAACCATTTGATAATGTCATTTTTGGGGTCATTGTGTGTAGAGATGCTGATGCTGATCAGTGTGTGTAGAGATCAGTGTGTGTAGAGATGATGCTGAGTGAATTTGAGTGTGTGAGGAGTGTGTGTGAGCATGAGCATGCACTCAGTAAAGCCTCCAAACACACACACACACACACACACACACACACACACACAGACACACACACGCACATGCACTCTGAGTTCAACACTCTACACATTATCATGCTGGAACATGGCCATGATGTGTTCTCCTACGTGTGTGTTGAAATGAAATCCACACACACCATCAGTTAGGGTTAGAAGACTGTTATAACATGATAGAAAATAACTGTATACTGTATAACAATTAACTCTTTAAGTATTTGTCTATTTAAATCCAAACAGTGTCTTCTTTATTTTGGTCTGAGAAGTGTATTATTAAAATGTCAAGAGTCTGTTTGAGGTTTGTGGTTTCTTCTCAGGTCTCACAGATGTTGTCAGAGCAGTATAACCCTGATCTGGACCTGCTGTCGCAGCCGTGCATGTGTTCACCCGGGCTTCAGTTTCAGGGTTTAGTGTTTAGGGTTCAGGGTTCAGTGTTTAGGGTTCAGTGTTCAGTGTTCAGTGTTCAGTGTTCAGGGTTCAGGGTTCAGTGTTCAGTGTTCAGTGTTTAGGGTTCAGTGTTCAGTGTTCAGTGTTCAGTGTTCAGGGTTCAGGGTTCAGTGTTTAGGGTTCAGTGTTTAGGGTTCAGTGTTCAGTGTTCAGTGTTCAGTGTTCAGGGTTCAGGGTTCAGTGTTCAGTGTTCAGTGTTCAGGGTTCAGTGTTTAGGGTTCAGTGTTCAGTGTTTAGGGTTCAGTGTTCAGTGTTCAGTGTTCAGTGTTCAGGGTTCAGGGTTCAGTGTTCAGTGTTCAGGGTTCAGGGTTCAGTGTTCAGTGTTCAGTGTTCAGGGTTCAGTGTTCAGTGTTCAGGGTTCAGGGTTCAGTGTTCAGTGTTCAGTGTTCAGGGTTCAGTGTTTAGGGTTCAGTGTTCAGTGTTTAGGGTTCAGTGTTCAGTGTTCAGTGTTCAGTGTTCAGGGTTCAGGGTTCAGTGTTCAGTGTTCAGTGTTCAGGGTTCAGTGTTTAGGGTTCAGTGTTCAGTGTTTAGGGTTCAGTGTTCAGTGTTCAGTGTTCAGTGTTCAGGGTTCAGGGTTCAGTGTTCAGTGTTTAGGGTTCAGTGTTCAGTGTTCAGTGTTCAGTGTTCAGGGTTCAGGGTTCAGTGTTCAGTGTTCAGTGTTCAGGGTTCAGTGTTTAGGGTTCAGTGTTCAGTGTTTAGGGTTCAGT